ATGCCTCCACCTGCTCATGCTCTAGGGCCAGAAGCTGTGCCAGGAACTCCCTGTCTGCCCAGTCCCTCACCTACTCATGCCGGTCCTGTGCCTCCTCATGTCAGTCCTGTGTGCCCTTGTGGACAACATCCTCTGCCTGCCACCTGTCCTGGCAGGCCACATCCTCTGCCTGCCAGGCCGGAGTGTCCACCAGCTGGTCCTCCAACACCATGACCGGGCGGTCCAGAATGAGAGTCCTGTTCAGGATCCTCCTCTGGTGGAGATGGCACATTGGAAGGGCCCTGGCTGTGGGCGTTGGCGACCCTGAGGCCACATCCTAGCTGCCAAGCACAGCCTGTTCCCTACATGCAGCTGCAGACTTTGTAGAACCATGAAAAAGAAGCTATTTGTATGAGCTTGCAACATTTCAGAGGTAAGATGCTTTGTACCAGGGGCCTCAGATCGAGAGTCAGGTGTGTAAGGCAGCCCGTTGACCATGTTAAGTCAGGCAGCCAGGCCCAGGCTCAGGCAGCCACTGGTCAAGCCTCCATCCCCACTCACTCCCCTGGGGCCAGTGGCTTGCTAGGTGCTGCCCGCAAGTAGCCTGCTTCCCCCACCCTGTTCCCAGGGCAGGACAGGCCAAGCTCCTGGCAGCACCTGCTGCTGTGACTCCAGACCCCATTGCTCCCCCTCCTCCTGCAGGCCAACTGCTCCCACAGCACCCAGGCTTGGGAGATGCAGGGCTCCCGGACTGGGATGAGGAGCTACCACTGCCCCCACCGTCCCAGCAGGAGGCTTCTCCAGGGAGGAACCTCGGGGCCAGCCCCACCCTGCGCCACTACTACGTCCCAAGCGTGCCCATGCTGCACGTGCCTCAGGCAGCATCAGGAGCTGTTTACCTGGACCAAAGGGGTGCCTGACCCACTACACCCTACTGCTGCTGAAGGCCAGATACCCTGGGTGCACCTGCACACCTGGCATGGGACCCTGAGCTTCAAAATCGAGGGAGGCAAGCCCAGGCTGCCACACAACCTCCGCTGCCGCCTGGAGGGCTATCTGTGGCTGTGCTATATGGCCCTGCCCCGCACAGCCAGGGAGCACATCGCTACCAGCATTGGCGCATTCCTCAGCATGGGAAAGGCCCATGCCCGCCTAGCTGCAGGGGCACAGGCTGCTCAATAAATCTTTCCACTGTCTCCTGCCTTCCTATGTGCTGTGGGGGGAAAACCTGGGGCATGGGGAATGTGGCTAAGACAGGTGGGGAGGGGGACCACAGACAGAGGCTGGGTGTTGGGGCTGGGGGCAGGGACGGCCCTTCCCCCAGTGTAGGGCTTACCATGTAGCTGTGGCTGGTGGCTCCTCATGGTCGTGTCTGTCAGCGACGGCACGCAGATCCAGGTCCTTGGATGGCTGGGCACAGTGGGCAGGTGCCCAGCCAGGGGGCCCCCCGGAAGAAGTTGGTGCTGCCATCATGGGTCCCGTACCGGCTCTCTGGGGCTCTGCATGGCTGACTGTGCTGCTGGGCCTGGGCAGCTGCATGAAGCACCCAGCACAGGGGCCTGGCAAGGGACTGACAGCTGCACAGCAGAAGCAATGCCCTGCAGCACCTGCAGGCTCAGGGTAGGCTGCTGGGGGTGGGCTGCGGGCAGGTGGAGCTGGCCCTGGCAGCCAGAAGCTGCCTGCAGCTGGGCCTGGGGTCTGGCAGGCCTGGCTGGAGCCTGTAGCAGTCTGAATGGTGCAGGTCTGGCAGCCGCATGGCACTGGGTGCTAGGCAGTGGTACCAGGGTGCAGGCAGGCTGGGGCAGCTGGCCTGCAGCCTGCCTAGGGGCACACAGGGGCCTGGAGTGCCCTCAGGCTCCCTACTGGTGTGCCCCAGGGCCCAGAATGCCTGTGGGCTTTTAAAGGCCTGAGGCAGGGGCTGCTGTAGAGGGAGCCCAGCCCTGGGGCAGGAGAGGCTCCCAGCCCAAAGCACTGGGGCTAGCCTGAGGCTGGTCCCCTAGTGACAGGGCTGACTTGGGACCAAATTTGCTCCTGGGTTACGTCTACATGTGTGTTACTGAGCAGTAACTAATCACGAGTACGAGTATCAAATTTATTTGCCATTAGGGGTTTTTACTGTGCACTTACTGCATAGTAAAATATGCTACTGCACACTGATGCACACAGACGCACCCAGAGAGTCCAAACGTATTTTCTGTAATGTCTCAGAAACATTACAGGGCATTTCTGAGCCTGAAAATGCATAACTGTCCATCTCCTAGGAAGTGCAAAGTTCATCATTTTACTAAATGGAGGATAGCCAAATTACTTCCCCAGCAGCCAGCATACAAGGCCAGGTATCCCGAGGGCTTAAATGAAGGGTTAGTATAAGAACAGGGGCATGCCTTTCTCAGAATAATTCAGTCAGCATGAGTGGCCAGACAGGTCAAACCCGGCAGTCAGTGAACCTTGGCTGCTGAGGCTGTTTCACCATGTTTACCTGTAGAATTTTACTCTGTCTACCTAGGTGGCTCCTTGTGGTGCTGGCATTCAGTTTGCAGCTTCCGACATGAGAGATGGGTTCAGAGGCAACCCTGGAACAGGTTTGACTTGCTTACTGTATGTGAGATGAAAGGTCACTACAAATGTCTTGCTGCTTCTTTAGCCCCTGGCCCTGCCCCCTTGGCCTGAATCATGAATCCTTCAAGCTTCTCTTCTACCCTCACCGACTTCAGTCCTTTGAGTTGATTTAGTGCTGGTGAATTGTCCTTGCCTGCTTACTATATTTGCGGCAAACAGAACAAGGAGTTAACTCCCTGAGGGCAGGTGTATACTGGTTCCATGCTGTTCTTGAGAATGGTAGACTTGTTTTACAACAGCAGCCTTCTGCCACTCCAAATCCATTCTCAAGCACACCAGAGATAAGAGATCTCTATAGGAGAGCAGGGGACATCCCAGAGCATCCTCATCTGTCTCTGTTCCAGGTTTGGAGTACATAGAGTGCTGGGGCTTCTTTTCCAGCAACAACCTCAAGAGCAACACAGAACTAATGTAGGCATGTCCTCCTTTTTCTTATGAGCCCCAACAACATGGTAGCAGAAGACAAGTGAGGTGGGATTTGGGGTCAGCAGCTGGGCATGTCCTATTAGCCTAAACCCTTTGATAGCTTCAAGCAGTATGAAGAGGTCTTGGAAGCATAAGCATGCTTTTTTCTCTCTGAAACACTCAGTTTGCATTTATTTTCATCTTTTATTTCATGACAGGGCTTTCATCTGTGTGGCAGGGGGTGGGGAATGAGGGACAGAACCCTGAAACACAGTCCTGTAAACAAGCCTGCATGGGAACTAACAAGCAGGAGGGAGGAAACAGCCATGGGGCTACTGATAATGAGCCACTGACACCTGGGTAGAGTCATTAGTAGCCTGCCCTGGACTGATTAAACAGATACTGAAAGGGAAAAAAACAGGAGAACGGAGAGGATGGCTACCAGGTTAGGAGATTCCCTTCTGCAGGGAGATGCTGAAACTGTAGTGGGAAGAGGCTTAAGGGTTACTCCAATGGAGGGAGGCATGGGAGAATCACAGCCTTAAAGAGACATACACTAAAGCCAAAGGAGAAGACTTAAAGAGACAGGACATCATAATTATCCCAGGAAAGGGATAATTTTGTTTGGAGAGCAGGAGTGGCCTGAGTGGGAGAGGGGACTAGAAAGGGAGTGAAGAGGAGGTCCCCACAAGAGCCCAGGCAGGCTCAGATACAGAGTAAGCGAGTGACAGAGCACACAGGAGTATAGAGTAAAAGGGCCTGAGAAGGCCCAGTGGGCAACTGAACCAGGGCGAGTCCAGAGAGGTGCAGGACACAAGGTCCTGCCAAGAGAAGTGAGAGCATAGGAGACAGCAGAACAGAGAAGCTGGACTGGGGACTGGGTTGTCTGGACTGGGGATGAGTGAACTACGAAAGAGAAAATGGAGCACCATATTAGCACCTTCATGAGCCATAAGCAGCCTCCCTTCTCAAATTAACATCTACTAAGAACTAAATCATGTGGCGGGCACTAGAACAGAAGTGAACTTTGTTCAAGACAAGCTTCAGGGCAGGAAGAACGGGGGGGTGGGGGGGGGGCGGGTGTGGCCCTGTGACAAGAGAAAGGGCTTTGACATCCAGAAGCCCACCAAACTACTGGTGGGCTGGATACAATGGTTCCACAGGCCAGATCTGGCCTGCAGGCCATATGTTTGGCATCCCTAAACTATGGCATGTAACTTCATGGATCTTAAAGGCTAAACTAAGTGAACTCAAACAGATCTGCAGGTTGGCAATTGTGCATGCTATGATTTTAGAAAGCTGTGTAACTTATTACCCACGAGAGAGGTAGCATTACTGGCCATGCAATAAATAAGACAAGTGCTCCAGTAGCAACAACTAAACTTGGGTATGACTGAAGGTTGTTTACTTTGGAGCGCAAACCATCTTTAAGATGCTTCATGACAGCTTGACAAAGTTCCAAGATAACAAGGAAGATTTTCTAGACATTATAATAAAGTCAAGCTCACAGATAAGCATAGTAACAGAGTGGTTCAAGTCCTCCTCCAGACCCATGGCAAAGATCACACTCCATTGATACAACTGTAAATAGAGTAGTGGTCATTCCAGCTGGGGAGTCAAAGATGACCATATTGCTCTCACGTGCAGATGGCTAGGAAACTAATATGTTTCAACAATAGTGCCCCAATGGTCCATTAGGCTTGGCTGGACATTTCTTTAGTGACATTTCATGAAGTGACCCTGAGCCCAGAGAAGGGAAAGTAGCTAACCCACCTTGTTCAATTTCATCTTTTCTCACTGTTGACATTACATTTCCTTTTGGAGCAGATTTTATTTATTACAAATAGAGCTTTAAATCTCAGGTAAAGCTTAACAAGAATGCCATTTAAAAGCACTAACAAAAAGTGACTTGGATTCCCACCCACAAAGTACACGTTAATGCAAATGTCATCTTCACTTATTTTAAGCAGTCAATGCAGTGTCTTGATTAAACTTACGGTAAATTTGAGTCCAGCAGTATCAAGAAGCCATGTGGCCACCAGTCCAAATGGAATGGATATCAGAAGATACAGTAAGGATAGCCAGTTAATGGTATCCAAAGATACGTTGAAATAGACTGCTGCTTGATCAGCCACTGGAGCAAACGTCAGCCACAACTGCAGGAGAAAAAACATGAAAGCTGTTGTCAGGACTCCTGAACAACACTGGCATCTGTAGACAGAAACCCAAGCCCCAACACCCAGAGGCCCGTCCTAGCCCAGTTTGGGCCCTCCCTTGAGGTCACCAATGGAAACTACAGTCTGCTGACTAGAGTGCTATAAAACCCTCCCACTTTCTGTATGGCCTTGTCTCAGCTGCTGCTTTGGACCCTCATGCTTGATTCCAGTTAACCTTTTTTGTCTCAGACAGGCTTATAGCCTTGATCAACTGTTTTACTTTGCCCATTACCTTGTGTTGACCCTTGGTTTGATATTCTGAAACCCAGATTGATACTTGGCTTTGACCTCAGCAACTTACATTCTAGTAAACCATTGGCTCTGATCCTAGGGTGAACCACTAAGCCTGACTGCCTTACAGCTATGAGCTAATGCTCTAACCATCAAGATGAATTCTCCCCTCCTTACTCACCATGAGGCCAAGTACTAGCATCTCGCTTGTACCTGCCCCTATTGTCACTGTGAATGGTATGTGCAGTGACATACTGTGGCAGATTACTAATGTTGCGTAGCCTGAATAGTCGTATGAATTTTGACTTAAAAACTGTGATTTTGTGTATTAAAAGGTACAACCATTAAAAAAAAAGTTAAAATTCCAAAAAAGAAAGAAAAACGCCATTTTTTTGCAGCACACTTCCATTGCCCTTGCAGCACATTGGTGTGTTGTAGCACACCCTTTGGGAATCACTGATCTAGATAAATTAAGTCCTTCATATTAACCTTCAAGAAGCCTCTTATCTTACCATAGAATGATAGCATATTTGCCTAACACGATCTTCCTCTGTCAATTTAATGTTGTGCTTTGTCTAGTTTTCCATCTTTTTCAGTGCCTGCTCTAAAATCTTACTTTTAAGTCAAGTTAATAGGCCTGCCAAAGACTTCTTTGTCATTCATATCCTTTTTCCCCAAGTACAATGAGGTAAGTTATGAGGCACTTTCAGGGTTATATTTTCAGTCATTCACTACATCCAGTATGGCCACTGCTGTATTTCCACAAAGGAAAACATAACAGCAATTGTACATCTATTTTTGCCAATTGTACATCTATTTTTGCCAATTTTATCTCTGAGATTATTTACCTCAACCTGCAATTTAGGCACATAGGTAAGGAACCTACTTTTCAGGGTTGCTGAATACTTATAATGAGCTAAGGGACTTGCTGATATTCATTACCTTTAGAAAATCAGGACACTTTTACCTGATATAGTTTCCTCTGAACTATAACAATATCTCCATAAGCTTTGTCTTTCAGAAGAAATGAGCTGAAATTGGCTCAATTCTGAGCTGGGATGTGGAATGGAACAAATTCACAATCTTGGCCAAAGCCCCAAAGAGAGAACCCCAACAAAATTCTTTAAATTTAGGATATATTCCCAGTTCATTAGAAGACCTAAATTTTGTAGTGGTATTAGGTCATCTTCAAGTTTAGGTGATGAATGCTCTGGTAAATTAGATAAAAGAGGTATTTAAATGCACATACAATCTTCAATTTGTTTTCTTCCTTCTTTTTGTAGAGTCTTAAAGAGCAGTCCCCAGTCCCCTACTCCCTGCCTCCTCTTGCACATACTTCTAACAAGGTACCACTTTGCGGAGATTTGGCCCAATTCGGTGGCTGAATCTCCGAATATGAATCGAATCAGGGGACCCTTAAATCTCTCCAAATCGAATTGGAACCCTCCAAATCGATTTGGAGACATTTGGACATAGACACAGCTTTAAATGTTTTTTCTACATACCTCTAGGTAGCAGGGGCTTGTGAGTGCTGTGATGGTGGGGCAGATGGAGTGTCCCACAGAAGCATTGGGGGCTCCCCAGCACACTCAGCAGCAGACCCGGAAGTGGGCCAGCACTTCCAGTCCACTTCCAGGTCCACTGGGGAGTGCACAGGCCCCCCCCCCCCCCCCCCCCCCCCCCCCCCCGCC